TAGTCCTTGCATTAAAGTGCTAGAAGCTCTAAAACTGTTTTAAGTTTCTCCATACTTCTGTCCCTTTACTCCTTGGGCTAAATACTCAAGAGTTGTTTTACACTCTTGTTCCTTCACTCCTTAGTTGCAAACTTGGGAGTTTGGCTCCATTCCTTCATTCAATGGCCCAAGGCTTTGAAACTTGGGTTCCACTCCACTGTTCTTAGACACATGGCATATGGCATGTGGCATGTGGCATGTAACATATGACATATGGCATATAAAAGGTTTAGTTTGCTTTGTGGTTATCCTATGATAAATCACCATAGGATAAAGAGTTATTAGATTTTAAAGGTGATTGAAGAAAAGTGTTAATGCAATGTAGATATCCCAAGATATGGTCTTTGTGATTGAGTCTTGGGTAGTCATTTGCATTTTACAAATGTCAGTGTTGGATATTGGAAATATTTAGGTAAAATGTTCAATGTTTAGATATATTGTTGGGCCATAAGAATTTATGTTGAGATGAACCTATATTAAGTTATAGGTAGAAGGAAGTTGGTTGAGTTTTGAAAAGTTTATATTCCTAGACTGCGAGTCATTCTTTTTCTTGGATAGAAAATTTTTTATAAATTCTTTTAGACTTTTCCAATGGCTAATTTGTTGATAATTTTGTTTAAAAACCATTTCATATTTGTAAGCTAATACAGCTTAAACCTTAGTAGGTAGTTTGTATGATGTGACCCGAAAAGGATGTTAACTTTTGGAGTTAATGCAATTGAGTTAGATACAATTTGAAGTTGGTGTAGAAAAGTGGATATTACACTTTTTTAGAAAGATGACCCTTGTGCCTTTCTTCTGTAATATTATGCTAAATGGCAGGTTGCACCTTGCATTTTGTTAAACTCTATGAAAATAATGAGCTCTCATTAATCTTGACTTAGTTATAATAGCCCTGTGCCTTAGCTAAAAATAATGATGTTCAATTTAGTTGTTTGAGATTGAGGTGTTAGTACCCATACTATTACTTTATCTATGAGGAGGTTATGTACTAATATGAGTCCATCTCATGGTCTTCACTTTAGTTTCGACTATGTGTTGATTATGCATGGTTAACCTCTTCAAGGCATACTTAGAGTTATTAGCTAAACATGTTAATAAGTTTATTGTTGTATGATTGGATTCAAGTAGTCATTTAGTTTATGTTTTTCTATGTTCCTATATCTTGTATTCGAAATATTACATTCATATTGGACAAATATATGACTTGATGGCATGAGTTTAGTGTTTGAGTGTTGTGAAAGGCAAGTTGAAGAGTGATTGTTAGTTGCTTTGCAACTAGTGATTGTTTGTAAACTTCGTTGAGGAGTGTTAAAACTAATTTTGCTCAATGATGATTTAACAATGATAAACTTGCTTTATTAGATGGTGTTATAAAAGATTGTGTCATTAAACTTATATGGTTTTTCTATATTGGCATGTTGATTTTACCTCTATCGAGATCATTTGGTTGTATGTAGTATATAGTGTTAGATTACATTAAGTCTTGGATTTCGTGAATCACTCATTGATGATGTGTTATATGTAAGTGAGTTTTGCTGAAAGTTTAATCTTGGATAATAAGTAAAGTATATTTGACTTTAGTTAGTTTGGTTGCTAAAGAGTTTTGGGTAGTGATTTAATCTTGCTTTTTATTAGCTTTATTTTGATGTTAATGGCAATGAAGTGATGCCTCATCATTGACATTATTGATATTGAGATTAGGGTAAGATGAGATGTCTTTTTGTAAGATTGATATTGAGTTTCATTAGTCTTGATATAGATAATGTTAATGATTTAGTTGTAGCTTTATATTATTGGCATTCATGCATTTGCTAGTTAGTAATTATATTGATATTCAAACAAACTAAGTGGCAAGTTGAGTTAATTGTGTTCTAGACAAGATTATTTAGTAGAGGTTGAGCTTTGAGTTTTTCCTTGAAAAGTATTTCAATCATGGATTATGCTAACTTTCCGAGAGGAAGAATTAGTGATTGATATTGAAGATGTTGATTCCTTGTTAGATTTGAGTTGATATATATCGATCATTAATGATTCTTTTTGTGCTTGTTATAAAGTGAGTTACATTTTGCTATAGATGGATTTATCGAGGATCATTTGGTGACCATTTGTTGAACATAACTTTGTATTTTGGATTAATGCAAAAATGCTCTTCATTAGCTTTGCATTATGAAGTTTAGTTTATGGATGTGTTAAAAAGGATATTATGGGTTGTACCATGATTTCTTCTTTAACATTAAAGTTAGTTCATATGACACTCATAATCATTATAGATAAGACTAAATTATAGGCTTTTTTGAGTTTTTGGTTCCTTAAGTTTTCATACTTATTATTTCATTTGTTAAGAGTTGTTAGGGATGGTATTTTTGGGTCATTAGTTTTGATGTTGAAGTTAGTATTTGCATTTAGCAATTATTTGTGCTAATTGACTATTATTTAGGATAGTTAATTATCCTTGTCAAATGTTTTGCTTCATTATTGTTAATATAAAATGATTTGCTGTTCTTTAGGATGGTGGATTCTTTCTTCATTTAATAATTATACATCTCTTTATTGGTGGGATGATTGATGATTTATCATAATAGTTAGTTATTCTCTTTAATGGTTTATGGCTTTCCGCATTACCACATGTTCTTTATGGTTTATTCTAGATTAGTCTCTTGGGTTTGAGATATCTGTAAGATATTGCTGATGCTTGTTTAAACAACTTAAGTTCCTTTATACTTTTAACCGGGATCTTTTCATATTGGTTAGTGCGATAATTAGTATGAATGAATGTTTGCTAGTCTTGCCACATTCATTCTTTTTTGTTAATTATTGCTTGAGTTAGTTCTGATAAATTAAGATGTTATTTCCTTCAAAAGATACATTTTTGAGCATTTTACTTATCTATCAATAATGCTTTGTATTCTTTAAGTTTTTTTTCATAAGTTGTTTGGTATATTATCTACAATTTTTGATAATTAAGTTGTATCATTGAGTTTTCTTGATGATCTACTTACTATTAAATTTTAGTGGAGAGTGAATCCTATGTTTTCCAATTATGATGATCTTTGTGGTTCCTATATTATAATTCTTGTATATCAAATGATAACTTACTTGGAATACTTTTATATTTTAATCTAAGATTTATTTACTGATAATTAAGTTTCTCAAATATCATTATCTCTCACTTTGATATTATTCATTTATTAATATTTGAGTTTGGGCCAGTATAGGTAGATTGGCTTTGGCACTTAGTGTGCATAGTGAAATCTTTAGTCATGGGGTAGCTATTGTCAACTAGTTATATCATCTACCTCTCTATCAATATTGTTTATTTTGGTAAAGGGTGTGACCATGTAAACAACTCTAACTATTTGTTTACAATAGTCTATCTAAACTTTACTAACAAGTTTAGTTTCTTTGCTCATAAAGGTTGTGGCCTTTAGCTTCTCTCTTTATGTCCTTGTAAGTAAGGGTATATCACACTTTTGTAAGCTAAGTGACACCCAGTGTAGTAAGGAAAATTCTATACATTATAATTTAGGCTCTAAAGTTTCAAATATAAAACTTTGAACTCAATGAGTTTTACAGTTAATGTTAATGCCTTTTCTCAAGCTCTTGTTTCTTCTTTGCTCTCTTCTTTTATTTTTTATAAGTTTATTGTTCTAGTATTAGTGGATTTTCTAAATAAAGATTTTGTGTCATTGACAGTTGTTATATTTGATGTTCATTGCCTATATATATATATATATATATATATATATATATATATATATATATATATATATATATATATATATATATATATATATATATATATATATATATATATATATATAAGATGTATAATTCTGAAATAAATATTTAACTCTTATTTTATAATACTAATTGGAAATTATTGAGTTTCACATTATAGCATAGCTTGATTGGTTTGCTGTAAACTTAACAAAATAATTGTTATTTATTAGCTCTATGATCTCAACAACTTGCTCAATTAGACATTTCAACTAAGAATATTAACTCACAGTAGTAATTTCACCTTTTAACTTCTATGTATACTACTAAAACTGAAAACTAAAAAAACAAAAGTTTGAAAAGTTTTCTATTGGCATCCATTGCATTCTGGTTTTATGCCTCAAAATGGGCACCTAATGACATATATTATTACCATGACAACAAAATTTAATTATAAAGACAATCATACAAGAGTGAAGTATAACTCAAATAACAAAAAAGTGGCCAACACTTAACGTTGCTATAAAAATCTCTTTACAAAGATTGTTACTACCTTAGTAAGATAAAAGTGGAGCAGCCATCCCAAAAGATGATCCTATATCAAAAATCTGAGAGGTCATTTCTCTTTCATAAGTTATCAAGAAAGAGAGTGACATTTACAACTATTAGATAATTAAAATTTATTAATATCTAATAAATAGTTTAACAGTTTATATAAATAAACCATTAGATTAAGATATCAACAGTGTAGATGATAATTAAGATTTTTCAAACACCACAAATCTTATCCAATTAAAATTTGGACAGTTAAAAACTCACTAATAAGGAATATTCTCAAGTCCAAACTAAAAGTATTAAATAATAAAAGCATGGTTTTGATTTAATTTTAAGTTTAAGGAAGTGAATCTTGAATTTTAGAAAATCTAAACTATTTATAATAATATTTTAAGAATAAAATCATAGCATTAAATATTAGAAAATAATTTTTAAAAAAAAATCACAAGATTGAAGAATAAAGCATTTTCTGTGATATGAGTGTTTAATAAAAATTCTCCTCTGAAAATTTCTCTTTCCACAAGCTCAAATGTTCCCGGCTCAAATCCCTAGACCTAGAAAAAATTTAACTGACAGGATTAGTTGTGAGTAGAATAAATGAAACACACGTCCTAAAGCATCTTTATAAAAGCTTGAGCAACCGAATTCCCTTATAGAAAAAATCTCTCATTCCTGGGTCCGTTACGATGATGATCACAAGAGCTCCTGCTAAAGTTATGGATCGAGCATTCTTCCTCGTTTTGATCCTGGCAGTGATTGATTGGAGCCTGGAAGAGCACCTCACTCCGGATTTCTACCAGGATTCCTGTCCCAATCTCGAGACCACAGTGCGAGAGACCGTAAATAAGTTCGTCCAGGACGAGCCGGGGATCGCAGCTTCACTCCTTCGCCTACATTTTCACGACTGCTTTGTCACGGTAAAGTTCGAAGGGAAATCTCACTAGTACCTTGAGTTGATCGAAAAGATGGAGCATAACTTCTTTTGCAGGGCTGCGATGCTTCAATCCTCCTGGACGACGTTCCTCCCAGGCTGGGCGAGAAGAGCGCTCCTCCAAACTCAAACTTTTTTCGAGCTTACGAAGTCATCGACGACGTGAAGTTCCAACTGGAGCAAATCTGCGACGGCGTGGTTTCCTGCGCTGATCTCTTGGCTCTAGCTGCAAGAGAAGCCGTCATAGCGGTGAGCGAAAGGAAAATGCCGAGATCAAAGCTCTCACCACCATCTTTTCTTCTGTGATAGTCACACGGCCCTCACTGGAAAGTCCACTATGGCCGAAGAGACACCACGGTGGCGAGCTTGGCGGCCGCTGCGCAGGACATACCTTTCGCCAACGCCACCACCCAAGAGCTCATCACAAGGTTTGAGAACAAAGGCCTGTCCGTGGAAGAAATGGTAGCTCTCTCGGGAGCTCACACAATCGGCCAGACACGCTGCGCGGTCGTCAAGGATCGCCTCTACGACTTCATGGGAACGGGGCAGCCGGATCCAGCGTTGGACAAGGATTTGCTCCAATCCCTCCGTGAATCCTGCCCGGACACGCCCTCAAGCGATGAGAATTTCTCCCCTCTCGACTCCCAGACCCCTCTCCGATTCGACAATGCCTACTTCACGGACCTGAGGAGCGGCCGCGGTGTCCTCCGCTCGGATCAAGTGCTCTACTCCACGCCTGGCGCCACCAAGAGCGCCGTCCATCTCTATAGCGGCGATTCAAGCCAGTTCTTCGAGGATTTCGGGAGAGCGATGATCAAGCTAGGCGGATTGACGCCGCTAACAGGGAAGGAGGGCGAAATCCGACGCTCCTGTCGATTCCCAAACCGGTGGATCTGAAGCTCATAGAACCCTAGATGTGCCAAATTAGCACTAGAAACGCTACCGTTCGATCGAAACAAAGAATATTACAAATCCTGTCAAACCCTATAGCTCCTAGACCTTAAATTTAGAAAATTAGCCCTGTTGGATGCTTTTAAATCTACCCTTTCAGACCCATTTCACAATTGACCATTGCTATCTCAATGTACTCTACTCTTCGAAACCAAAGCTCCTTGAGAATCGTATGCATGTAGCTGATTATCTCCAACCACAACCAATTCGCTTACTCTCCCTCCTTCCAGCTTTCCATCCAAAAACTCCCACTCCGATTTGTCTTCGTTCCAAAAGTAGAGCCAGTTTGCGTTGCTGTCTTGGAACCACTTCATCATCACCAAGACAACCTTGTTCAAAGTTGCCATGGCTGGCGTCACACCATCCTCAATAATATCCTCTGCAAAGGGTTGTCTCCACCCTTTCTTGTTAACGCCCTTGTAGTCCAAATCCAGAAACCTCCACTCTAGCACCAATTTTTGGATCCCGCTGCATGTAGTACAATCCCATCTTGCAACACGAGAAATCTCTCCAAATTGCAACCCAAAGGAAACCTCTGTTGCAAACTCCACTTGTCCAAGCGCAGATTGTACTTTTGGATCTTGAAATCAGCTGCCACGTAGATGTTATCTTTGAAAAACACCATCTGTGGATTGCTCGAAATGTTGGTCATCCAAGTGATTGGATGATCATGCAAAGGTCGAACAAGTGGGATTTTCCAAGCTTTCTGCAATACATGAGCACAAAGCCCTCCCTGCAACACATAACTCCCCACTCGTCACTCTGGTCTCCCGTAGGACATGGAAGTGTTAAATCCTTGTATCTCGTAAGGCAGCTTTACCATCCTTGGCGAAGATTGGCCCTGCGACTGATCATCTTCCAGTTCTAGCCTAGTAGCCCCCTCTTCATTTGCACTTGACTGTTCAGTTTCATTGGAAGAAGCTCCATTGTCGAGGCTGACCTTTGGAAGAATTTCCTGTATTACGTCACATGGCAAACGTGAACCCATCACCCTAAACCCTAAATCTGTAAAGGTGCCTGATTTATTTATATAGAAGCAAACCTTTAGAATATACCCTCATGAATAGCTTCTTTTTTTTGTGTGGTCTTTATTTTATTTTTTCTCATGCCAATGCAGGGCCTCTTCTTGATCCAAATGCTCTTCAGTATTCATTGCCTTGCAAGACCGAAAGCGAGAGAGGTGTCTTGCTCCTCTGTAGGTATGTTCTATTGTTTGGCATAAAGTTTTAGCGACTTGGATATGCATTGCAGAGCACATGAGCATAGACATACGAGTTCATTTTCAATGTGCTTCTTTTACTAGTTAAGGAGGAGTCTAGCTCATGGGTTTGCCACTGCTTAATGCTTTTGCAGTTTGCTAACATTGCCTTCCGTTCACAGAGGAGGAGCCATTCTGGATCTTCTTCTGGAGATTCTGTGGTCTGTGTATATTAGTCACGGATTGTGAACGCAGGCAAACAATTAATTTCGAAAGTATAGAAATGGTTATCGTCACAGCTAGTGTGCTTTGAACTCCAGCACCATGAGTATGACTCGCAATTTTTTGGACCGTTTGAGCTTTCATGCGTTCTGTGTTTCAGTTAATGAGCGAAATGACTTTGTGCGGAATGTGACTCTAAACGCCTTTTCGCTTGATTCTATGATGGAGTGGCTCTAGCCTCTGTAAATAAGGTATAAAAGCTGTTGATTTTCTCATCTCTTGTTCTTGTCAGTGTGTCATTTTCGCAGCTTGAAAAATTTTCTACGATCTATCCTAACGGAAAAGTGTCTTTCTTTTCCGTCAGTATCAACAACAACCGTCTCAACTTTGAGGTATCACATGAAAGATTGATTTCATAGTACTTCCTGATGAGGCTGTAGGAAAAAATGGAATCAGACGTTCTACGTGGCGATCTTGAGAAGTTCCAACGAAGTTAACTATAATGATTTCGATTCTATTACTGTGCTCGGAGAGGCAGCATCATGCAAGGTACAACACCTGGCGTGGTATGGACATTTTTCTTTATTCATTCATTTATATTCTGCCCAGTACATCGCCATCACAAGAAGCACCAGGAGCAACGTTTTCGAGATGGGAGTTCTTATCCACGGAAGCTATTTCATCGAGGTTCGAAAGCCGCAGTCGAAATCACTTGCTCAGGCCGTAGTTTTCCTTGTTGTGGCGTAGAGCTCTTCTCAATGGCGGCTATCACGTCTACACTTATCCTCGTCCTCGTCTCTGCTATATCTTGCACTGCTCAGTCCCAGCCAAGGCTCTCTCTGCCCTTTGAAACCAGGCAAGTGAACAACGGTAGAAAGACAAGGTATGTCTCCAGGGTGACTCTCAATGATGCTGGCTCCACGAGCGGCAGCACCAGCTATACCAAAGTCTTCACTATCGATACAAGCTCCAACCAAGTCTCCGTGTCAAGCTGTAGCAACAACCGTGCCAGTTTCGAGCTCTTGGTCGCGACGAGCAGCTTCTTCACGACAAAGGCCAGTTTTCCCGTCGACATCAACATTGTTTGCAGCAGCAGCCAGGGAAACGTGATTGGCCTCGCGGCATCAGGTAGCTCCAGCTTACCATTCCAAGTCTCTCGATCGGCTAAACTCGCTCACAGGTTCACGTACTGCCTGGCTTCCAGCTCTGGCCGCGGCTTGGGCGAGCTCTACATCGGGCAGCAGGGTCCTTACAGGGTCTTCCACAACACGGACATCCTCAACTCTACGTCCCTGCCAATGCTCTATTTCCCACTCACGGTCTCGTCCTCGGGTTCTTACCACCTTAAGCTCGACAGCGTCTCTCTTGGATCCAAGACCACCGTCACTATTACCATGGTGGAGATTGGAACGAGCTTCCGCTACACTCGGCTCCCTCAGGCCGCGTACCAGATGCTCCGAGATGGATTTCTTCGTGAGGTCGGGGAGAAGAAGCTGGGCAGGGACTCGTCATCGTTTGGAGAGCTGGACTTGTGCTACAAGATGAGCGTGGAGCAGCGAACTACTTTTTCAAACGTGACGATGGTGGTGAGCGGGATCCAGTGGATGGTCTCCGGGGATAACTATCTGGTGACCAAGCCGGGGATAAGAAATGTGGCGTGCTTCGCGTTTGTGAGCGCTGGGAAGGATGGACGCAGCGTGATTGGAACTGCCCAGCAAGAGAACAACTTTGTGGAGTTTGATGTTGATGCCAAGAAGTTGGGTGTGAGTGGCTCGTTGTTTGCGGCCTTTGGGCTTGCCTGTGAGAACACCTCTGGTTCGTGATGTATTATTATTTCAGATATTTTATCTTAAGGAAAGTTCTGTCTATTAAGTCCGAATTGGACGCATCTTCCTCCACCTGATTGTCTTGTGTTGCTGCTCTCGCCAATGCAAACATATCTCCACAGGGCACCTACATGAAGCCTCGTCCCATTCTGGCAGCTAACGAAGCCCTCCCAAAATTCCTAACAAACTTACGTGATAACTATTGCGCAACTACACCAGGCACAGGGTCCTCTCGATGATCCACCGAAACTCGACGTGCATCAAGGGATTCGTTGCTCTCGCTGTTGGTACCGGATAGGAGAGCTCGGCCCGCTGCTACAGACCAAAGCATCAAACTCGAGGACCGAGACCCCGACCCCCAGCTGGACCCCGGACGCCGTGAACGAGTGGATATCACTAGCCCAGTCTCGCTCTTGCCACCATAGCCTATCCTTCTTCTGAGAAAAGGCTGTAGCAAGCAGTAGTAGTATAGTGCCAAGCTCGCTGCTGTAAGCTTCCTCCAGTGGACGTCGCTAGCGTTCCCGGTGATCTTCTTGTGAGAGTGCACGTGCTCTCTCCACGGAGTCACCCACGGTGATGCTGCTCTTTGCCATTGATGACGCTCCTCTGGAACCTCTCGCCAGCAACGGACAGGCGGGGGGATATTTCCTGGGAGCGTGGAGAGACGAGTCGAGCTCGACCTCGGTCCAGTTACTGTCCTCGGTGCTCCAATCCGGGTGCCTCGTCGGGCACGAGAAAGATAAGTTCGGCAGGACGTTATTGATGTTCTTGAGTTCTCTAGCATTTCAGCCACCTTGACTCCGCCATGCCCTTGTCGTCGTGGAGATCAACCAAGAGACTATCTAGAACACTGAAAAGCCAAAGAAAAAAAGATAAAATAAGATAATAATTACCAAGTTTGCGAGATCTCTCACAACATGCACAGGGGCATGAACCGGCCATGGAATTCAGTCCCTTCTTTGCTCTAGTCTGTCCACTTTGAAAACCCCGTAAGTCCGGAAGAATTGTTACATCGCAAAATCTCATACAAAACGTGTCAGTCGAAGGAAAGTAAGAGAAAGAAAGAAGGAAAAAGAACAAAACCGATCGCTTTTGTTTTGCTACCGATGCTTCGCTGCCAACGCGCTTGCTTTCCCGTGGACGATCCGATCATCATGGCCAGAGCTGCAAGGCGAGAGAAACTATGAGTGCTATCGCTTACCGTCACACTATGGAATCAACCGGTGGAAAGAGACTTCGCAGCCATTCTTCTTGAACGAGCCGATCGTGTCAATGCCGCGTTCCAAAGAGGCCAATCCGCGATCGAAAGATTCCGTGAAGGATTTCGTATAAGAATCCAGCAATTCGGACAGTGACTTCGCAGCATCCGTGAGGGACCGGCCGAGGTAGAATGCGGCTGCTGCCACTGCTGCTCCGAGGATTGCCGCGGCTAATACCCTCTCCTTACTCCACGATCTAGCGCTCGTGTTGATAGTGCTCTACAGCACAAGGCGGCTTACTTGATGGGAATTCGTTCTGCAACTGCACATTCTCAAGCCTTGATGCCTTAAAAAAAAATGGCTTGCTAGGGATTTCAACTTCCAGGAAGAAAGTAAGTTTCAAAATCTGTGGGTGATATGTTTGCAGGTTAAAACTGGAAGCTAACTTCTGGTGTATGACTTCATAAAAACTGCATATATCAATCACATTTCTCACAAGTT